GAAAAACCAATTCATGTCTTTTCGAACTTCGATCGGAACAAATGCGCAAAGATTAAATTCGAGAGTTACTTTCATTGCGGTTAGACGATAAGAATGCACTCGTGATGAACTGATGAGTTTTTATGTGCGTACTTTTATGCTTCCGCAAGCGATCAATTTGGCGAGCCGTGAAATACAACATAAAATTTCGATTGTAATTTACTTGATTTTATCGGTGCGGTTTTTTTCGATGTCGTCAAACTGCATAATGCTCACAGCCGTTTACATTTTTTTCCGGTTCAGTTGGAATCGTAATCGAGAGTTTGTCACACGTAACATCATAAAAATTTCGAGGATTTGATTTTTTTCGAGAATGTATAAAAAAATGTTACAACCAATGACAATTATTGGGTTTAAAAACGTTGAAAATTTTTGAGTGATATCGCCAGTGGCGTATCCAGGGGGATGGGGGGCTTGGGGGTTCCTTTTTTTGTAAAAGTAGTTCGATATTCGCAGATCATTTACTTGTGCAGCTGAATATGAAAATACCGAACACATTCAATAAATTGCAATAATCTTGTAGAAAATTCGATGATATTCCTCTGTCGCCCACTCAAATGTGACGATTTCTAGGGGATGCTGACATTTTTTACGAAAACTTAATATATATCTATTTGTTCACACCGCCAAGTACTGGCCGAATATGTTTTGAGAACGCACAAAACCCCTGCATTAATGATCTCTTCAAGTCTTTGGCAGATATTGGCTCTCAAAGTGTTTTCCAACTCCGGAAAAGTAAATTTCGCCTTCCCCTTGAAAATTAGACCAATCGAAAAACCCCCCTGAAATTCATCTCTGGATACGCCGTTGGATATCGCCGTGTTTCAATGTTTAAAAATAGTCGTTTACATTCATTGAAATGTCGTTCAATATTCCAGGTTATGAGCATGGAGCCATAAATAACTTTTATACCAAATAAAATTGGTGCAACTGGCAATCAAAAGTCCGATTCAACTATTACCGCCCATGCCTGTTTACAGAAAATCACAGTTTAATTACAGTGTAAATATCTGGAGTAATTGGCTTAAATATCGACGAAAGGGCTATTTGTTTTCGTCTCTGTGCTTTTGTACAACGAAAATGTTTCACTTTTTCTTCAAGGGAACGAAAATTGGGCCTTCGGAATAATTATTCATTTTCTTGGTATTTTTGGTAATCTGAAAAATCCAAATTCTAAAACTGATTCGTCGATTTTGGAATATTAATTATTTTTAGATAAGCTAATTAAATATTCACGTGAAATCCCAACGAAAGTTTTGTCATGCACGAGATGCGAGATATCGAGAGAACTTGAAAGTTTTTGGTTCACTCGGAGACACATGTCACCAAAATGTCATAAATGTATGCAAAACAAAAGGCAAACTAGAAAAGTAGGATAAACGATAACATCTTTATTGGCAACGGTCGATAGAGTTCGGTGAGCGGTGAAATGATAATTTAATGCAAATGCGATTGGCAGACATGTCACCACATGTTAAATTTGCCCATCCAATTCTCGACTCTAATGAATGTCTATCTGGTGAGCGAGAAGCGACGGTGATTAGATTAAAATAACTGGGTCGAGAGGTGCGCGGTGCACTCACGAGCAAAATCATAATTGAACTGGATTGGATAATCGGTGCAATGACCATTCTTCTAATTGAACATACTCAAATCATATAATGTGGTAGTAATAGACGCGTGTAGACATGATTTGTTAATTACGACGACTTGCTTCAAACAAACCGGTTACATAATTCATTTGCAAAACTCTAACGAACATTCAAGTTATGAATCGTAATTAGGGCGCTTAATCATGAAATGAAAAAGAACAACATGAGCTTGATTAAACATCAAACGAAGATGTTTTTCTGTGACCTGGATGAAAAGAAAAACCAGTGAAACTTATTGGCGCTTTTTAAAGTTTAACGACGAAAAGAAATGTAAAATGCACACGTGGGCCAAAGTTTCGTTCCGATTCGTTGTAGATCATTTCCAAAAGTTTTCGCTTACGCTTCCGTCATTGAGGCGGCAAATAATCGAGGATTTGCCCCGTTTTTGTGAATTTTGAGGATTGAACGCAGCTGAAGCCGAACCGTCTTCTAAAGTTGCAGTTTTATAAGCGACTGACATAGATTCACGGGAATTTCCTCCAAAGTGCAATTACGTAAGAAAAAATACGAAACGAAGTTACTCCAACTATGCCAAATACAAAACGCGAGTTAAACAATGACGCATTAAATTGATAGCATAGAAGAAACGAAGAATTTCACAACTAATTGCACACAGTTAAAACTCGGTTCACTGCAGTTAAGGAAAATTAATTTTTTATGCAACTTTTATGCATTTCACTTTTGGGCTGAACTCCTACGAGCCCGTCAATTTGGAACTAAAAATACGACGAACAATCTTTCTTAATCGTTTCTTATGCTGGTGTAATTAAATGTTCACGTAGAAATGAATGCACGGCAAAATTACAACGAAATGAACTAGAATATGCACGAATTATAATAACGGAATGAACTAAATACTTTGACAGTGCAGACATGAACCATATTATTGTTCTTGATTAACTTCTCATATCATATTTTGCGTTTACTTGAAACGCATTTAATTCATAATGCTTTTGTTCTACATTTCAAAAGCAGATTTTTTTCTCATTCACATCAAAGAAAATTACTTCCGTGCTGTAGGAATGCCAGGCCGGTACTGCCAGCTCAAAGTTTCACGATGATGATATTGCTGGCCGCGTATTCTGAGAAACGTGACACAAAATTGATTTAAGTCGTTCAATTATAGAAGACGAAGTTGGTATTTTCATCGGAGCCAATTCAATATTCGGAATTTCATTGTAAGTTTTATGATTATGGGACCAGAAATCTTAGTGGCGAGCGTGATTCCAGCGAACAGCATAAATTGCCATGATAAATCCGGCTTTTCGTCTACGGAAATCGATGCCATTCGTTTAATAGTCGAGAATGGAAATAGGCCACACCAAAAGCCATTTCAATAAATTATCATTGAGCGCACGCAGAACAGATTTTTTTCTTTCTCACAATATAGTCTAGAAGCAGTTTTGCGGCCAAAATGTGTGTTCATGAAAATGTAATTTCAGCAAGGCGGTGTGTCGAGACAAGCAAAGGAAGAAAAACACACACACATACATTTATTGAAAGCACGTGAAACATTTCTCTCCCCATTGGCAATGGGTAATAAAATTAAGTTTCGATCACAACGGATATGACATTGGAAATGCGATCGATTCGCCACTGCTCCACGCATTGCTCGGCTGCCAGCACTCGATGAATGGGAATTGAATTGTGTTTTTGTGTCTGGATTCTATCTGTTCGTCGAATTCATGACATTGAATTTTATATGTCATGTGATCAACACATTGAATATCATTCGCATTGAATACTTTGAATAGTATTTCTTGGAATATTTGTATTTCATGAGATTTTTCTCTGCGTTAGAATAATATACTGTTTGGGGTATATTTCCGTTGTACACATCATCCTAAATGACATTGATTCGTTGCTCATTAACGCCTACATTACGCTAATTTTGTGCGATAATATTTTGAGGCTCAGCTTTCCGATTTGTTTACTCCGTCTGGATAATATCTATTTCAAAGCTGACCATCGAATCGCATTAAATGGAACGATCCCACGCAAATTCATGTTTGTGGTTCGGCCATGTGACAGATGACAAAACAACCATAGTTCCAGTGTGTAATCGAAGCAAAAAAAATTAGCTCATCCATTTCATTATTTCTAACCAACTGCTATTCATGTTCGATAATTTATGTTTTCGATTCGGCTGGACGCTTTTCAACGCCATACTTAAAACGAAAATATTATCGTACAGCGAACGGCATTCTGAACGGGACCACCCCATCCAATCACAAAGCCAAAACGGCGTAAAAAACCAACAATCGTTTACATTCTTGATTTAAGCGGAACAATGGGTTTAGCAATGCTGAAATTAATGAACTAAACTCAGTGAATCAATATGTTAATTGCGCTCCATCGCATTTTTCCGTTTGCGCTTCGCTAATTTATCGCGGCATTTGAAATGCAACCAATGATTTTCCACTGCATATTCATGGTTTTTTAAAAATTCATTTGTTGTGTGTCTCGTTCGATTCAGCATGTTGTGAACGAGTTGGCGCAATAGTCTAATATATTCATATAATTATGTGTTGAGAGCAGGCGATGCCAATTCCATGCTCCAAATTTATGATTGTGAATTTGTGTCTGAAATTTTCGGAATTCCGACTGAGAGTGTTTGATAATGTTTGGCTTTGGTTCATAGCGTTTTAATTGAACTTTTCGCAATTAGCTGGTTTGATTTCTGTACCTAATGAGAACAGTGGTTGTTTGCCATTTATTTACCATTTCAATGCATTCGCGCCAAATAAGACAAATGAATTCGATGTGAACTAATAAAGTCAGTTGGTTTACCACGTGTTTTGTTTAATGCGGCCGCAGTTTTCCGAACTAGAATGCGTATTAATTTGTGATGTAAAACAGTCGTTGATATTCAATCCAGTCTCGATAATATCGAATGCATTGTTTTTTAGTTCAATGCGCCATGAAATTAATCCCAAATGATTTGAATTTACGTCGACCATGCGCTTTTTCAATGCATAACATCCAGGGACAATGTTACGATGTAATTAAATTTTACGCAACTTTATATGAACATTGAATTTATGATTATTCGAGTTCGATGTATTAATTATACGAAATGATATGGCATGATTTGAATGAAAGAAACGATATGTGATGATGTTGATGAAAATGAACAACATTTGAAACATGAAAATACACTGAATATATTCAAAGTTTCAGTTTGTGGCACACGCCAACATAAATGCTAAGACGTATTCTTCTTCTTCGTCTGTACTATTATCAGTAAACGGGCCGTTTAACAAATTGTGTTATCCTTTCCAAGATCAACTCGTTAGCAAAAACACCTACCGATTTATTACAGTTCTTGTTGTCTCCGTTTTTCTTTTTTCAAATGTCTCTTTTATTTTTGTTCCTCGAGAATATCGGCTTTGTTTTGTTGGTTTTCCGTTTCGGTAGCTTCCTTTGTGATTACAGCGATTTACACTAAGCCGCAGACACGCACCCGAAGCTGCCTGCAAAGGAGATAAAAAAAACGAAAGATAAAAATATGAAAGAATTGCAAAACGTGTCGTGAGAAACATAAATATTTGCGAACAAGTGTGCCCCTGAGCTTTCAAATGACATAAATAAGCCGGAGCCGTGCACGTGTTGACTTGAAAGCTTCCCGACCCTTCATACCAGCCTCCGTATGCTATGGCATAAAATGAAATTACATTAAACTTTTGTGAAGTGTGAAAGACATTTCAATAAAATTCCACCGACAGCCAAGTATCGCTTTACAGCGTTTGGCTGAAACAAACTCAAATGCCAGCTAATCATCGTATCACATGCTGGATTACATCCGACGTATACATATACACAAATATAAAAGCCAAAGTATAAGCACCTCGAACGCAGAGTTTGCTTTGCGCTTTGGCTTTATTCATCTGACTTTTGCTTCGCACAGTCCATTCATTTTCTGGCATTCAGCTTCCGTAATGACTCTTCAATGTTCGAACTTCTATGGTGATGAATTTAAATTGCACGGAAATTTGAATATTTAATGTGATATAAGAACAGTCTTCTTCAGAAAATCATACGGAGTTCACTTCATTTTTAGATAGAAGTGTGTTTACGCACTCTAACCGAATTCAAGCATTTGGTCACTTGAAACCGTACATTTGGCCATTAAATAAGAACTGGGCATGGGATAAATTGAATTTCACAGCATGATATGCCATTAAAAAGGACAAGCAATCAATGAGAGAAAATTTATTTCCAAATGCAATTTTGCAGATTTGACGAGCTCAAACTCAATATCCGCTTTGATGACACACTATTTTCCAATCAATGTAATAAAAATGGAATCAATACCGTGCTGTTCAATACAAATAGATTTAATGGAAACATCAAACACGAATGGATGTGACAAAACATGCACATATTTTTACTCGAATATTTAGAATAAAGCCAAACGCAACTCTCGCATATCCCGATGTGTACGTGTGTGTATGGATTTTATTGAATTTCTGTTGTGAATTTAAAATTTGATGCAGAAAAAAACTCATAGTAAAAAAAATTGAATAAAGTTCCGAGAACAGAATATGTTAGTTCCATTAAGCGTTCATTCTTTTGTGTTTTATTCAAAAATGCACTTCATAATAATTCTCTTCAGCAGTTGTTTATCTTTCGAATCGATTTAAATACACATGTTCACAATTTTTATTCGCATTTTCATTGTTGTTCGTCCCCAGCAAAATCAATCGCATTGCTGTTGTCTACTCGATATCCATTTTAAATTAAATTCGTTCCATGAATACACTCATTTCGACAACAAAGGCCAGGATAATAGTAAAAAGTTTCCGCGTTATCCAATCGATGTTCAATGAGAAGTACATTTACATTCGTCCGATTTTTGCAATTTTTATTTCGTGCATTCAATGTTGCAACAATGGACAAATAACGAATACACACACTATCGACCAAGCACAACTAGTTCAATCAAAATGTTTCCGTTGGCTGGATGTTGAATATTTCATCCTACTGTAGCTGCAAAGGGGATTCCCGATTCCTTTGTATTCCGGGTAATAATACAAAAATGAATGAATGAATGAATGAATGAATGATTGAACATATATCTGACATTTGGCACCTGTGATGAGCTCACTACCTCAGGAAAAATGATGACCAATGCCATTTGAACGAGGAAAAAAACACATTTGAAGCTGAACAAAGAAAAATTGTGGACCATTACACGGAATGAGCTCCATAAAAAGGTGGAAATCGATGTTAATCCATGGAAGAACAGCAAATAAAATTCCAAGTATATAAAAACGGGCAGAGTTAATGATGCTGTACTTCGTTTGTTTATCATTAGCGCGATTTTTTGGCGTTTTTTTCCTTGCGCATTGTTCCACCAACGCCGGCAATCCAAACGGGAATAAAGTCGCTTATCTCAAACATTCAATTTCATGATGGATGTTTTCGGTTATTATTCTCTTTCATGTGCCCATTCATGCAGCGTGCAAATCACTCCTGGCTTCAGGTTGTTTCATTCAGAATTTAATTTTTTTCCCTCGCTCGTGTACAAAAGAATGAAAAGATTTCCGGCAGAAAAAATTATCAGGCAACAATTCAAGAGGAAATGCGAAACAATTCCAAACGATAATAAAAAGAGCGGGCGGTTTTTTTTCTTCCTTCGTGTCGCTTAGCGCATTGAATTTGACGTCGTGTTAAGTTGAAATGGGAGTGGCAGCGCCAAAATGAAGAACAGCTCTTTTGGTTTTGATGTCGTGATGAGAAAAAAGGCACACACAAAACACTCGTTAAAATACATCACCATTGTGTAACGAATGGCGGAAGCGAAAATGACAAAAAAGCGCATGGAATACGAATGCCTCACTTCATTTCATTTCCGTCTTATCTGTGCTATCAACTCGGATATACTTTCACTTCGGTTGTTCATTTTTTTCATTTCTTTTTCCTTTCGGTTACATCAGTTTTTGCCACGCTGTAACTGAAATCACATCGACAATCACAAAATGTCGGAATTGAGGCACAAGCCTTTTGCGAATGGAAATGTTCCGCTTTTCAAGTCGGTGTATCGATAGCAGTACACGGATCGCTCGAAGCGACTTTCTCCATCACACAAAGTGGAAATAGATTGTTAGAGCTGTCAAATACTTTTGAAATCGCATGTAAGAGTTGTATCCGGGTTTTGTTTTGATTCTTCCACCCAGTACATTTACTATATGGCTTGCTATACTTCTCGCTTGGTATTCTTTTCCGTTTTTTTCTTCAATTTCTATTTTTTTCGGTTGTTTTGCTTGCAACGGAAAATATAAAGACAAAATCTATAAAACGTTGAGTCTCAACTTTTCTCATCGTCGGTTTGTGATTGGCAACAATTGCAACATTCAATTCACATACATTATGCGACTGCAATTGCATGCAGATGGAAAAAAAGTAATACAGAAAAATATCAATAAATTATTACTGGCAAATGCTTGCAACTTTACAGCGATTTCACAGTAAAGAAGTCAACGTGATTCGAAACAACAAAATGATTTTCGAAGCGAAAACGTATCATCTTTCATAATTTGAAAACTTCCAAATAAATTAAATATTTGAAACCAGTTCCGTGATACGCTTGATAAAATCGGCATTAATTTTATCCATTTTTTTGGTACACGTTTTTCCATTTTTTTTCTCATAACATTCTAACTTGCAACCCAGCCCAGCTTGTTCATTTATTTTCGAGACACTTTACAGGTGGGCGAATGGATTGATGGACATATCACACGAAAATTGTCGCCTGCCAATGTAATTCTCAATTTGCGCACGCTCACTAAATCTTGTTTTTTCATTGCAACTGAAAATTCGTTTTGGAAAAAACAACAACGAAAGCGAATCGTCTTTTGTGAATGCGAGCTTTGAGTAATAAGTTTTCCTTGCACTCGCACTCGCCTTTGAATTTCGTATTCACTTCGTGATAAATTATTAATCCCGCCTGAATACTTTTTCCCAAGCACGAAACTTCCAGCCAAAGCATTTCCGTCTGAATTGGAACACGGAAAACGTCGAGCGAGCGAGAGAGAGAGTGAAATAGAGAGATAGAAAAAAGCATGACGAGGCAACAAAGACGTTGTACACATATTGAATTTTTCGCGTTGGCTTATCGACATGCGAAGCAGGGCTTTGCTTGAGCTCGTCTTCAAATTTTCAGCTTTCATTTCGTCCTTTCATCGAAACGATACATTCTGCGCTTCTCGAATAGTTCGTTGTTTCAACGCTTGTAGTGCATCTGTTTTTTTCGGAAACGATTTCATTTTTCTCACAACGATGAAGTGATCATTGTATCCATGTATTGCAATTTCGAGCGCTTCAAACAAGTTGTAAAACACGGAAAAGAGAGTAGCACCAAAAGAACACAATCATTTATTTAGATTGGTTGGGCCATAGAAGGATTGATCCCTTTAAAATTGAATATTTTAAACGAGTTTTGACATTCAGCTTGATTTCGGTGTCTTCATTAATCTTTGTGCACTTTTCCCGGTTGAGGTGGATTTTCTGTATGAATGGCTTAACCCTCTGACTATTTGACGAATGGCCAAAGTAACCAACAAAAATAAACACTTTTTTTCATCGCTATCCTTCTCTTCCTTTTGAGCACCTAACACAAGCACTCACCCGAAAATTGCTTCATTTAAACTGAAAATTGATCCATACAAATTAAAGTGATGTCGTCAGAAATTGGCTATTTATTCGAAAAAGCATCAACGCAACCATTCATTCCAGCAATGACATAAAACACTTTGCGTAAAACGCTCAGCAAAAGTCATAGTTCACACAGCAAAAGTTTTTACCCTTTCCTTGTTGACATTTGCCGGAACAACTTTTAAAGCATCATCTTTTCAGCTCGTAAAACAAACTAAAGGGAATGCTGTAAGTTGGACGAGAGTAGCACAGTTTTTTTTCTTTTCTCTCGGTGTATGACATAAAAATTTCATCATCATCACCAAATCGACGACACGAAAAACTAAAATGAAAACGAGAAGTCAAACAAAAACACTCACAAATCGACTGATTAAACTTTGATTCCCCAGCTGAATTGTCGTTCGCCTCAATTTGTCTGTCTTATTTGTACAAGACAAACTCTGATTGAATTACACATCGTCAGCCTGAAGTCGAGACAAAGTTCCAGTCGGAATTCGCTAATCAAGTTGCAGTAGTCCCGAGATTTTATCGTGAAACGCTTACTCTAACACAAGTCTCACACTCTCTCACTCCCTCTGTGTGTGTATTTTAAAGAGATTGCAATCAACCTGCTCACTATTTGTTGTGTTTGCATTAAATGAGCATCGCCGCCTTTGGCAATCATTTTCACGTTTTTAATGATACACTTAGTCCTCGTCGTCGTCGTCGTCATCGTTGAAATTTTTCGTCAATTTGATCAACATCCGAATTTGAATCGGCGAAGCAGAAAGAATTCTATTTGCGTTCAGTCGCAATCGCGTTCGCACTGCG